TCCAGCCATGACCGCGAAAAGGCGCTCGCGAAGTCAAATGTGTTATTCACATAGGCGGTCTTATTTAAATTATAATTATTATTTAATTCAAATGAATTGAAAATTGCAATTCATTTCAATTTACCTGAATTAGCATTTTAAAGTGCAGAGATACATTCATATCCCTATTATATTATTTTTGGATTCAAATAAATTGAAGTATAAAATGAACTATTCATCATGTTGAATTCGGATGTATTCATGTCTGTATTATATTATTTTTGGATTCCAATAGATTCGAAAAATTACAAGCGCCAATTCGGAAATGTCGGAATGAATTCATTTCTATTCATTTGAAATCATTTTCGTTTGCTAGGTTTGTAAAAAATGATCGTAATAAAATATTTCAAAAAGCACTTTACAGCTTAAAGTCTCTATTTTTGAAACTCATAATTTATTAAACGACTTACTGATTCTTTACAAAACTACACGGATGCAAATGGAGATGCATCAAATCTAAAAATTTTTTACTATCTTTGCGAAGTTCCATGGCGTAAATTAAAAATCGCATACATACAGGTCCGGCAATTTTCTTGGTTCTAGGTGTGGAATACTGTGGAAATTTCTGATAAAAAATCCCCCTCACTTTCCCCACCCCACCAGTGGTTGATAAAATTTTCAAATATACAAATTTTTTCTTTTAACATTTAATTATTTAACTTGAAAAAATTGAGGCGTATAATAAATAATCATAAATAGTCAACGATGCCTTTGCGAACCGACACGGATGTTGGTGTGTAATAATTTTTACTGTTACAACATCAAGTCACATATAAACTGTGCACCGCATAAACTGTCGGTCTTGAAACACAATTTCTTACATGAGACCAGAATTCACTGTAACGAATTAAATTGTCAAGCAATTTAATAATTTCGATGCTAATAAGTATTAAGAATCTTCTCCTCCCAAATCTGTAAAGAATTTATTACGAAAAATATCTAACATGCTTAATAGATGCTTATTAACATCGAAATTATTAAATTGTTCGACAATTTAATTTGTTACAGTGGATTCTGGCCTTATGTAAGAACTGTGTTTCAAGACCGACGGTTTATGCGGCGCACAGTTTGTATGTGGCATTGTTTGATATTGTAACAGTAAAAATTATTACACACCAACATCCGTATTAGCTCGCAAAGGCATTATTGGCTATTTATGATTTAATTATTTATTTTTTACAATCAAAAACGTGGATGCTCTATTTTATATAATTATTTTTACTTATAAATTTACATATTTTACTTATAAATTTAATAATTTATCAATGTCATCCATTACAGCCTCCGCTAAATCTCTATGGTCGGGTGTGGATTTTCCGAGTATGGAAATCCACACCCACATGATTTGGGGTGTGGATTGCTCCACCAATCCACACATAAAACGCCGGGCCTGCATATATGTAATTTACGGTGTTCGAAAGTGTAAATCTTTACTTTTAATTTGCGTACTCGCAATGAGCGTTGTGCAATTTTTTTTACCGAGTTATTCAATATTGAAATAAAAATAGGCCTTACGCTTGAATAACTTGGTGATAAAAAAATCACACAATACTCAACGAGTGTGTAAATTAAAAATAAAGACATACGCTTTCAAATGCTGTAAATTGTGTGTGAGTTTTAATTCATGTCGAGGAATCTTGCAAAATTCGTAACAAAGTGTGCCGCATTTTTATTTCCGTATAGTTCTGTAAAAGATCAGTTCTTTAAAGTCGATATAAAAAGTAAAGACTAAGTTGTAAAATGCTTTTGAAAATTGTTATTGTAATTTATCATTTTTTAAATGATATTACACTCTCCTTTGGAGAGTAAAATAGAGGGTATTTAATTTTGCAGTTGCATTAGCATAACCCAAGCCGGCAGCACATTTCGACATTTTTACGGAAAATCTTTT